GGGGTTTGGATCCCTATCGGTTCCCCCACTCTGGCCAGCAGAAAGACCTGAGCCGGCATTGTCTCGGCGACTGGGCCTGGCGGCAACGATGCTAGCATGGACTGGTGCAGAGAAGAGTACCCGCTGTCCAACGTTGGAAAGGAGATTGACTTTAAGAAGATCACCTGAAGACAAAAATGGAAACGGAAAACATAAAACAAAACAAAAGTACGCAATGAGACGGACATCCAAAAGGGAGTGAGATTAGTTAAGTCGAAGAATCCTATAAAAAGGCTAATATAACAGTCCACAATTTCAAGTTTAAAGCGCCTAACGAAAAAGACTGTAATTTTGAGACTTTGTGATCGGGAATATCTCGACCGAGAAGTCAGGTGGTGTGGCAGGCTACGTATCGCCAAATGCACCTATTTAGAAGTTTTACCGACTGGTCAAAGTCTGGATAAAGTATAATTGGATGCATCACGCAATCAGGATTTCCAGGGCTACGTTCGTTTCACTGCGTGCGAAACCTATCCCGAACATTATCTCGGTAGTCAGCAACCCCAAAATAATCAATGCTTTGACCGCGAACCGTATCGCGGCAGATTTTGAAGAACCGTAAAGAATTCCGCAACAGCCGGACTAATCCTCTGGTTATTCCGTGGAGAAAAGTCTGTTGGCCAATAAAACCTCGCGAACATCAACTCTGCATCGCCAGACAGTTATAGAAGAGCAGTTACTTACTGTGTGGCCATATATGCATTAAAACTGCACACGGTGGTCCATTAAACATTTTGGGGAACGAGTTAAAATTTTATCCTCTTCCGCTCGTAAATTCAGAGGGAAAACAAGCATGCAATCGTCTAGAACTCTGCAACAGCCCAACGTCCAGTTCAAAACTGTTAGGCAAACAGAGTGAGGACAGCACTAGACGGTATCTAGAAGATTCAGACAGAAAGAACAGCAATCTGGCTAAACATAAGAGTCAATCTATAGGTACGGCCATCATCAACATCTGGATCAACCCTATGAGCTTGTAGGTGGTGTCTAAGAGAAGCCACGTTGTACAATTTAGTGATGGACTATAGACTACCAAATCGTCATATTAAACAACATTTCGCTGACCTTAAAAAGCAAGCTCTGGTGGAGTAGAATAAAATAATTTAGCCTGACATTAGGAAGTAAAGCAGATGTTTTCAAAACGCCCACACAGTGGCGAGCAGTCCGAAGTCAGAAGAGGTGGATACTCAGGAATGAACTGAAAGGTAAGTAGACTTCTTTAGCTTCACCGAAAGACTGTGGACAGGCAATCATTCTGAACTGCTTAGGCACGTTACTACAGCCATGCCTCATCAGCTCCCCTGCCCACATAGATGAGCGTTTAGACGTGTACCGCTTGCCACACGAGATTCAAGGTCATTCAAATTGTCGAAGCGTGCCCACGGCACGACCTTGACGCGAAGCTGACACTACCTCCATCACGCCGACTTAACGAAAGGAAGCAGCTGCCAGGAGGCGCCCCCATGCTTAAGCTTCTGCCAGTGTTTGGTTTCGGCCACTTTGGAGCTCTCCACCAAAAAGGTACCCACCTAACTCCGACGCACTATCTTAGTCCATATTCGACATGACTAAGCACCAGACGTGGACACACAGTCATGTCAAAATTGGCTGTCACTTGCATACTTCTTAATCCAATTGACACTGAAACGAAAAAACCTGACAAAACAGCCGACGTAATCCACAGACGATACTTTATGGCGAAACAGGCACGAACGCCAACAACGCAGGACGAGGCTACTTCTATATTCACCGGAAATTTCTGTTGTATCGAAAGGGGTATTATCGGAAAAGCCGTCAATCACTTAGAGGATCTAAAATTCGGTAAGAGAAGTTCTTTGGGATGCCAATTTTACAGGATCTAAAATATGCAAAAATGCATATGCAATTAAAGCATGTTATACTAATGTCTAAATGACCCAACTCACCAATGAAGGACTCGTCCTCCCGCAGCAGAACGACCGTCGGACCAAACCACTGAGGCTGCTCACTCTTCTCGGGATTCTGTTGGCTGGGTTTACTGTCGGCAAAGGTATTGGCAGCGGAATGCTGATTGGTTTGCGGGACCTGGTCGCGTGGAGGCTCGAACCATTGCGAACCCGCCGCCTCACGGGAATACCTTGGCGATGCAGATAAGTAGGAGGTATTGGAGTTGGAATGAAGGCCGTTTCCAACATCCAGGCGCCTTTGCCGGCTGAGCGGTTTATTCAAACCGAGCCCAGATAATGTGGCCTCAACGGCTTTACTGGAGCGGGGCATGGTAGGCATGTCTACCCTGACCAGGTCCGGTCGCATGTTCTCGACCACGAGTGTATACGGTGGAGATGGTAGCCCCAGTTGCCAGGTTACCTAACGCACAAGGGAACAAAGAAGATTCTGTCAAGCCCTTTCGCTCAGGTGGGGACAAGTATGATCTGTGTGCGACCAACAAATTACAAGAAGAGAGAGAGAGAGCGTAGGACAGCTTTAGTGACAGGACTTCTAACTTGGTCGGAGGATACAAAGGCACAGTGTCTCAGTGGCACAAAGTACCCATGCGTACGGAGAATACTCATATTAATAGGACAGAACGTAGAAGGCAAGTAGTTTGAAATTGAAAATTACAGGTGTGGACTCTAGGGTACTCTAGACTACGCCTTTAAAATTAGAAGGATTGCAAAATACCCTAGTACTCTGTAGCAAAGATAGCATTAAACAGACTTTCTCGTGAAAAGGTTTGCTATGCCTTTAAAAATAATAGCCATTTTATAAGATAAGCCGATCCCATGAAGTAAAGGTTTACTGTCTGTCGTTTCGAATGTTAAGAGAAAAGTAAACTCAGGAGGTAATATCACTATCTCGTGGCCATGCTGGGAGTATGGTTAACTGATCGCCAGCTTAGCGGCTAATATACCAACTGTTATATTTAACAGTGCGACATTGTTTCGCTGATGCGATGGAGTTTAACCTAATCACATATGCAAACTCCAAATTGTGTTCCGAACATGGTTTTATAAAGTTTGTAGAGCAAAAGAAGGCTTGGGACAGTAGGTTGAGTATCACCGGACACCCGCTAGTGACCCAAAAACTTCACAAGAGCAAAGCATATAAGTCAACAAGACGCAATTCGGTTCCCAGATTAGGATCAGCACTTGGAATATGGAAAGCCTTACTATTTGTGGTCTCTTAGCTGCCTGCAGTCTGTCCAGGGGGCATCGTTTTATCAGAAGATTGCAAGACCCCTTTTATTCAGGTCGCCTACCTGTTCACCATAATGAGTACTACCTACTGGGCCAAGTTAGAGCCAGTTTGCGAGTGGATGGGTGGGACTAACTTAGAAACGGAGGTGGCGAGCAGTAAAATCTCCTACTAGGAGCACTTTGTTCCGGGATGTAACTGGCCAACCACACAACTTCGTCAATCTGTGTATGCAAAGACCGAGCAATTCAGAGTCTAGTCTGTGGTGAGCGTTTCCGTGTTTCCACGAACTTCTCGGAAACCGTCACTCGGGGGTCTTGAGTGCACCTGCGCCAGCCCTTCACCCGGCGCCAAAGCAATGCGACCGGCAAGAATTGCGGCCTCGGCAAGGAACGCCTGGAATTGCTTGCCGGATAGGGTCCAGTTTTGCAGGAGAGGCACACACGCTAGAGAAACAGTGATGTCTTGCTGAATACGGGTAAGAGTGCTGACGAATTATTCCAGACCCCATGTGCCTGTCAAAGAGGCTCAGCCACACCCTCAAGCTCGACGAGGCTAAAAATTCCTCGTGAGGAGTGAAAAATGCACGAGCAGCGTACTCTCGAATAACAGTTTCTAGGCCCTTAGTATACGTTCAACGAAGTGGGGCGAATGTTTGCATCCCAGGAACGTGAATATTTTGAGAAGAAGAATTATCGAACACTGGAATTATTATATTATTAGCCTGAGCTTTCAAGCTCCTACAGGAACCCATCATCAGAGTAGGAAAAAGCAGCCATATATCAAAGACGTGTCCGAAGCGACCGAGCGTATTGCCGCGGGAATAGGCGTTGGAATCGCACATCGTCCTAAGGCTACAATGCGCAGCCGGGTCATGAGGATCAAGGATCGACTATATCCCAGTGAGCAGTCAGGTGTAGTGTATCGCATACCATGTCTAC